TGGGATTTTGGAGAATGCACATGCCAGGCTATAGTCAGCTTGTGAGTCCTCTATATCGAGTGAGAGGAACTCTTCCAAGTGGGACCCCGAGCAACAACAGGTCTTTGAACAACTCAAACAAGAAATAGCTCGTGCAGTAGCCCTTGGGCATGTCCGTAACAGACCAGCTGTGCAGAACATACTTTACACTGCAGCTGGGGAGCATGGGCTCACCTGGAGCCTCTGGCAGAAGACCCCAGGAGAAACTCGAGGCCGACCTCTGGGGTTCTGGAGCCAGGGCTATCACAGATCAGAAGCCAATTACACCCCAACTGAAAAGGAAATATTAACAGCATATGAGGGGATTCAAGCCACTTCAGAAGCTGTTGGTATGGAAGCACAACTCATCTTGGCCCCATGACCACCTGTGTTACAGTGGATGTTCAAAGGGAAAATCCCCACTACACACCATGCAACAGACGCTACATGGAGTAAATGGGTAGCGTTAATTACACAGCGGGCTCAGATGGGGAAACCCAACCTCCCGGGAATCCTGGAAGAGATTATGGAGAGGGATGCCACATACAGATGGGCTCGTGATCGAGGGGTGGACCTGACCACTGAGGCCATTACACAGGTTACCCATCAGTGTGAGACCTGTGCTGCAATCAAACAAGCCATGAGGGTAGAGTCTCCCTGGAATAGGGGGAGATGGCTTGGATTTCAATATGGTGAGGCCTGGCAGATTGACTACTCCCACAAACGCACCAAGGCAAGCGGTACATACTCACCATGGTAGAAGCAACTACTGGGTGGCTGGAAACATACCCTGTAAACCATGTCTCGGCCTGAAATACTATCTTGGGCCTGGAAAGACAAGTGCTGTGGTGACATGGCACACCAGAGAGAACTGAGTCCGACAAGGGAGTCACTTCTGAAACAATTTGGTCACCTCCTAGGCCAAGAGACATGGCACTGAGTGGGTGTATCACATCCCTTATCAACCACAAGCCTCTGGGAAGGTTGAGAGGTACAATGGACTGTTAAAAACTATGCTACAAGCACTGGGTGCTGGGACGTGGAGACATTGGCATATAAATCTACCAGAGGCCACTTGGCTAGTTAACAACATGGGGTCTGACAGCCATGCTGGTCCTGCTGAAACAAAACCCCTACACACTGTGGGAGAAGCTAAAGTCCCTGTAGGAGAAGCTAAAGTCCCTGTAGTGCATGTGGGAAAGTGGATGGGAAAGGTGGTGTGGGTTGCCTCTGCCATGGGAAACGGCAAACCCACTCGTGGGATTGTCTTTGCCCAACAACCAGGGTATACCTGGTGGGTAATGCAGAAAGATGGGGATATTGGGTGTGTGCCTCAAGGAGATTTAACACTGGGAGAAAATTAATCTGTAATCCAAGTTATGTGTCAAGAAAACCAACTTCGCCTGCCATGAGTGACCGCTTTGACAGATGAAGCTGAAACCATCAACATTTTTTATGAACATTTTGGGAAAAGACCTATGGAATGAAAAGAAGTACAGACATACAAATACTTCAATGGACAGAAAACAATGGTGATGAGAATATCTGTATACTATCTGTGTGGGACCTGAGTGTGACACAAATGTTATGGAATAAGGGGTGGAGGTTGTGTTGTGTCTGTCTGGGATGGGATGCTTTCCCTGCAGCAGCACACACAGTGCTGTGCTCTGCACTCATAGCTGGAACAGCACTGATATCACTCCAGTGTTGTGTCTAGTGCTGCACAGTGCTGGCACAGCACCAGGACTCCTTCCAAGCCCCCCAGAGCCAGCAGGCTGGGGGTGGGCGAGTGATGGGGAGGGGACATCACCAGGGCAGCTTTAATTAAACTATTCTCATCTCAAACCTCAAGCTCTCTGTGTTGTATTTTCTGCTCCTTCCTCTTTGAGGAGAGGGGGAGTGAGAGAGTGGTTATGGTGGAGCTTGGCAGCCCACTCGAGTAAAACCACCACACATGTTGGGAAAATTCATGTTTTTTCTTCCTTGTTCTCTCTGTGGCTTATACAGTGGCCTAATTAGTTATGAGATCTGGGTCTCTAATCCCTTGCCTGCCTCTGACCTTGAGTGACCTTGGGTAAGTAAATTTTCATTTCTCAGCTTGCGTTTACCCACAAGGAAAACGCTCATGTCGACATTTTTTTCCTTGCGGCCATACACTGAGCCTCACCTATAGATTATTCTCCCACATGGGAGAGAAAGAATGAGAAACCTGATTATGGCATGCTCTTCCCTCAGGGACAGAGGAATCCATCTCCATGAGAACTTTGTAAACCTCAATTAAATCTCTCTTTCTTACTCTACCTGTGGAGTAACAGCACACGGATTTGAAGAAAAATGCTGTTCAAGACAAGGGCAGTATAGGTTATTAACTATCCAAGTTAACGCTGAGGTGATAAGAATATTTTTGACTGGTGGCCATGACCTTGTAAAGGACCTTCAGATTGTCTGATAGGCGCCTCTGTCCTTACCCAGCTGGAGTTGTCACATGCTCATCTGTGGAAGTGTGGGTGCCTTAACATTTACCATATTTGCTACTTTTGCAGGGGAGATAATCAGCAAAATCTCCACCAAATGATATAAGCAGGTACAATTTTTACATACCATTGCACATGCTAGCATATTATAATGTGATTCCAAGAAGGTCGAGGTTTTTACCCATCCTGCCTCATTTAGTATAGACACTGGCATTAAGGCAAGAAAGCAGTATATAGCAGTATATAGTTACTGTTATATAGAATGAATAATTCTGCTTAATAAGTCTTTTGCTGGGGATCTCCCCAGCATGTGCAGGACTAACGTGCATTCAAGGGACTTTCCTGTGAATAATGCTTAGCAAGGGCAGGAAGGGCTATTAAGCCAATCTGTAACTGAAGCGTGGAGAGATGAGCTGAGTAGCCCAACGTCTTGCAAGACCAAGAACTGTGTACGAATCTTCTGGGTGCCCCAAAAAGCCACATCTGCAATTTGTGTTTTACCAGATGCTTGGAAAGGAGCTCCTCCTCTTGAAGGTGAGTCTACCAATAAAAGGTTAAAACTGAACACGGGTCAAAACAGCAGCATAGTGCTCAGGGTGGGGCACGGGGTCAAGCTATTGCTAGCTTGCAAGACAGCCTGCTCCAGAGCTCTTCTAGAAACTGAAGGGTAGCATCAGCTAAGATCAGCTGATGGTCTGCATTTTGCACTGTGATGAGACAATCGCCACTTGCATTTAAAAATGCTGGTGCTAAAATAAAGAAGTGGAACACACGTAACCCATTGCCCCACTCTGTGCACTGCTGCTGTGAAGAGGTGGCCAGATAGGCACGGCTTCACCCCAGCACTGCCCTGGAGGCGTCCCTTTCACTCCTTTGTAGTGAGTTCAATGACATTTGCAAATTTCTTGTCAGCTTTGTATCATCTGTGGTGTTTCTTGCAAACTTCACAAGGCCGCTGACTCTTGCCCTGCTCGCAGAAGCTGTGAAGCCATTGGCTCTCTCCTAAAGTGTCAAAGCATCACTCAGTTTCTCCATACAAAGGTATTGTTTGCTTCTCATGAAGATGCCCCCATCTTTTCAGGCAGGACAGACCTGAGTTACACGCTCAGTAGGCACTGCGGCTATCGAACTGCACGCAGGTAAGGGAGTGATGGAAGTGAAGCAGGCAAGCAGAGTACTGGGGGAGAAGTGTGTACAAACACATCAGGGGGAGAAGTGGAAGCATCACACAATTGGCATGGGGGTAGTGCAAGGAGTGAGGTTGGCATTTTCTCCTTTCACCACTTACTGATCACTCCAGCCTTTCTTTGCAGCTTGGTGCTTGGCTTTCTGGGTTGTAGGCCCTCCTGGCCTTCAAAAGACTACAGAGGTACTTCACCACCATGAATGTGCAGAGATTGTGGGACCACGGCAGACACACAGGGGCTGTGGCATAACGTGGGGTGCTGCTGGGAAACTGGGAGTCGATTTTAAATTTATTCATGGAACAGTGACTGGGGAGGAGAGAGCAAGGAGGGAGCGGGACTTGAAGCCCTAGGCAGGAAGATGGTGGAAAATACAGAGGTGTTGTGGTGGCAGAGTTAAAAGACAGGGAGGGTTGGGAGCAGGGTAGGAGATGAAAATGCAAAGTAAAACGAAGGTAGGTGGAAGTAGCATGGATTGAGGAGAGACCGTGCTGCTCAGCAAGAAATTTGGGGGAAGAACAGGAAATCGGTGAGCCAGGCAGCATGGCAGCAGGACACTTGATATACCCGATGTACATTTGAACCAGGAAGGAGCTCAGCCACGTCACGAGTTTTTTTTACTCGTCTGAAGACTGATCACTTTGACGGCAGGACAGAAAGCAAGCGTGACAGGACAGAAAGCTCCCTCTGAGCGGAGAAACCCAGCCTTTGGATGGCACCTGGGGCCTCCCTGTCCTTCGCTGGGCTGGAGCGGGTGACGGGTGGGAGCTTCTGGCAGGAATACTGGAACAGTGTGCCGGCCTGGGAAAAGGGGAAGATGAAATAATAATGATAATTATAATAATAATGATGATAATAATAATGGGAAGTGAAGGGTGCAGTGCCTGCCCCGCAGTCCACAACAAACCGTTCCCCAAAACGTCCAAAACGAGCAACAACGAGCGACTTGGGAAGCGCACAGCGGTCTCAATTCTCCCTTTTTTAATATTTCTTTTCATAAAAAGCCGGCGGGTGCTCTTCCCGGAGCCAGGCCGCGTTTGGTGGCTTCACCCCGGGGGCTGCCCCGAGCCCCTCACCCTCCACACCCCCGCACCGGCGGGCGCGGAGCCTTCACCACCCTCACCCCCGTGCCGTCAGGATCCCTTTATTTTTTATTTTTTTTTAATTCTTTCCCTGGGAGTGCCTGGGCGGCGCCGAGCGCCCCGCCGGAGCCCTGCATTTCCTCTTCCTCCCGGAGCAGGGGAGGAAGGGGCCGGCGGCGCCCCCTCAGCCCCGCCGCCGCCGTTGCTGCGGCAGCGGGCGGAGAGGGAGGGAAGGCAAAGAGAAGGAAGGGAAGGGAAAGGAAGGGAAGGAAGGGAAAGGAAGGGAAGGGAAGGAGGGACGGAGGGAGGCGGCGCCAGGGGCCGGCGGGGCCCGGAGTCACCGTGTCACGGCGCCCGGGAAGCCGCCGCCGCCGGATCCGCCCCCCGCAGGGCGAGCGAGGGAGGGAGAGAGGAAGAGGAGGAGGAGGAGGAGGAGGAGGAGGAGGAGGAGGGGGAGGAGGGGGCCGGCTGCTCGCCGCCTCTCATCTTTTGGCCTCCTTTCGGCCCCTCTCCTCTCGCACCGGGGCTCCGTGCGTGCAGCAGCGGCAGCAGCAGCGGCAGCGGCGGGGGGTGGCCAGGCCGCAGCGGCGCTCCGAGCAGCCCCGCCACGGGCCCGGGCTGGCCGCCTCCGGACTAGGATGTCCCGGCATGAAGGTGAGGGGGGCGGCGGGGCCCGGCACGGCCCGGCCCGGCCCGGCACGGCACGGCACGGCACGGCCTGGCCGCCCATCATGGCGCCGCCGCCGCCCCGAGGGGGCCCGCGGAGCTCGGCGGCGGAAGGGAGGCCCCGGCCCCGGCCTCAGCCCCGGCCCCGGCCCCGGTGGCGGTGGTGGCGGTGGCGGAGGGCGGCGGCCCGGCCCGGCCCGGCCGCGCTCTGCAGTGTCATGGGGGGGAGGGACGGGGGGGGGACACACACACACGGTAGGGGCTCGGCCCGGCCCGCGGTGCCGACGTGTCCCGGGGGGGGAGCTGGGGGAGAGAGAGAGGGGGGCACCGTGGGTTGGTTGGTTTATTATTTATTTATTTATTTATTTATTATTTTTTTTTTTGGGGGGGGGGGGTGGAAAAGCCATCAGGGGGACTGGAGCTGAAGGAGGGTGGTTGTGTGGTGTCAGGAGAACAACCCCCCTCCCCCCCCCCCCAACCACCTCCTCTCCCCATTTCCTCACTATTATTATTTTTTTTTTTTTTTAATTTTTTTATCCCCAGCCTTTCTCGCAGCAGGTACGGGGCGTAGCGTGGAAGCGCGCCGCGAAAGCCGCGGCCCGGGGTCACCTGGACACACACACACAAAAAATAATAATAATTAAAAAAAAATATATGCAACTTTCTGCCATGTTAGGAACTTAAGCCCGGCACCTGTCTCCATTTTCTCTCTTATCTCCTGCGGCGGCCTTTTTCCCCGCTCCTGGGAATGTTTTTTGGCAGGCGGTGGCGGTGGCGGTGGGCAGCGGGGCCTGGCCTGCAGCTGGTGGCACGCTGCTGGGCAGCAGGAGGAGGAGGCTCCGGGTGCAGGGCCCGCACGGGGCTCGCAGGCTCCTTGTTCACACGAGTTAGGCAGGGTTGTTTACCAAGCACTTGCCTTGCGAAGAATCCACGAGCCCGCTCGTATTGGCTGGAGTTAACATTTAGTGTGGGTGCCAAGCTCGTGCCCCCTTCCCTCCCACCCTCCTCCCTTCCACCTCTTTTCCCAGGGGGGCAGGGATGGAGATGCTGGGTTTGTGCGTGACTGAAGATGCAGTTGCTGAAAAATAATGATTGTAGTGAGGGGTTGATCTCAAGAGTTTTCGTTAGTGACTTTGTGTGATGATGAGCTCTGTAAGTCTGTCTGTAATGCTCGTATCTGTGATACTCTTTCTAAAGTACTGTAGTAAGATGCAAACTTTTCTAGGCTGAACAGGTAAAAATTACTGAAGTGATACCGTGTGTTGTTCTCATGCTTTTCAGAGATAAGTGCATAGACGTTTTTTTTTTTGTTTTTTTTAAGCTTGTGGTATTTGCTGTGGTACTTCAGTGTTTTTTTTTTTTTTTAAAGTCCTGAAAAAAAAAAAAGTTAGAAATTTAGAAAGTCCTGACCAGCCTTTCTGTTAAGACAATCTGAAAGTAAGGGGTTTCCTTCCAAGTACTTTTCTGATGGAGGCTATCTCATCAATTTCCCTAGTGGGCCGCAGTTTCTGTTTGTAGCAGTGATAGTTATATCCCTGTGCTTGGATATTGGCTTGTTGGTATTTAGAAGGAGTGATTTTTTAACAAAACCAAGCTTAGTATTTTCTTTCTGAAGCAGATTCTTCAGTGTTTGGTCTCTCCAGCTGTGCTTACTTTGAAAACCTGAAATAATTTTCTTTCTTTCCTTGTAAGTGAAGTGGTTGGCGAGCGTGAGTTCTGGTCATTTCACGTTGTGGATGTAGACTCTTGGAGTGTGTTTGTGGGTGTGCACGTGCATGACTGAAACCAGGAGAGTACCATGAAATTGTAAAGGACATGTATCGCTGCATCTTTGTGACAGATTTTTATAAAAATCTAGCGTAATTTCTCACTGCTTCTCCTTTTCCTTCATATTTTAGATCTTTTGTTTTAGTCAACTTTACTTATGGGGTTAGAATAATTCCTCTTAAGGTAGCAGGCATGCTTGTCCAACTTTCTGGAAAAGAGGCTCAGAAACTTGATTTTGTTACATATACAGAAATCCTTAGAAGTGAAATATTCACAAAAAAGTACTTCTTGCTGCAGGTCTATATAGTGTCATTAGTAGCTGCCAATTTTGATCCAGTGCGACTTAGTTGGGAGGACGTGTCTTGGAACAACATGGTGCAAGAGAGAAAAGCAAGTTTTCATAAGTGACACCTTCTCTGTGTGTTCCCTTTAAAATGACCCACCCGCAAAGTTACAAACAGGGTTTATTGATTGCTCCTGACAGAATCTGGAACACTGTACCAGTTGTATGATGGGAGGGGATGTCTCTGGTAGGGTAAATGCTAGAGAAGTTGATATCCCGAAGTCTTGGGATCCTAAAGAGGCCATAAAAACATCAGATGGAGATTTAAGCTTACACTTTGTTGTGATTTCTTGACTGTCTTCTTTGGTGTAATCGTCTATAAAAATGCAGTTTTTACAAAAACTGCACTTTTACTTACAATTTTTTTTGTTTTTTTTTTTCTTTATTAACTATTTTCTTAGCCTTCAAGAAAAAAAAATCAGACCACAGTCTCCCCTTTGCACTGTGTTTGCTTTTCACAGGTGAGCTCTGGGCTCACGTTTCTCCCTACTTCAGGAAAATAGGCCCAAGTACGACATGATTTATTGTTCCTCTTTCTTGAAACGTTCATTCTGTGTTTCAGAGGCTTTGTGGCAATACTGTCAAGAGTAGCTGTTAGCGTTTATCCACCTTTTGCTAATGCTACTTATTTCTATTTTTTTTTTTAAACCATCCCTGTTCTATGACTTGGTGTTAGGCAACTGGTTATTCCCTGTCCTGGTTTTGTTGAACACAACGTGAGGTCACCCTCTGCTCTTAGTGTTCTTGTCATTCCCTTTACAGGAGTGATCCACTGTGTTTCTCTGGGTTAGTCCCTATGTTTAGGAGTGAGTTGTGGTGCAATCCTTGGCAGCCTACAAGGAACAGACAGGTGAATTTTTATATTCTGGAAGGTATAGCAGAAGATATTTTGCATATTGTAAATCTTCTTTTGATGGGTGTGCGTTGAGTAATGGCGCTTTCGTACAACAGTGTACCGCACACAGGACAGCATAAAACAGAATTATAACTTCCATAAATATCATTAGAAGACCTCTTGTGCACATCTCTTGTAAAACTAGAATGCCGCAGCGTTACTGGTCGTACAAGGGGCTGGATTCTGTTTTCATGTTCCAGAGGGCTCCCGGCAACACTTGATCCTCCCTCCTGCACACTCTGTACCCCTCCTCCCTGACATCTTCCATAGTTCATTTCCTATTTGCGTTTAGGGATGTATTCTTTAAGCTTCAGAAAGCTAGGAGCAGTACAAATGGCTTGTGGTGTGGTTTTTTTTGTGTGTGTGTTTTTGTTTTTTTTCTTTCTGGTGCCCATTTGTCAGCGTTTCTTATGAATCAGTGGAGCTTTGCAAGGCAAGTAATCTCAGTTCCAAGTGAAGAAAAGTTACAAGTGGATGGTAATAAGGTAGGAAGGGAGGGCAGCGACTCTCAGGACCATGTGGAATTCTGAAAATGTTCCCTGCTGCCTTCATGCTCCTGATGCTCAAGGGAGCTGAAGTTGCAAGTGCTACTCTTTTTCCTTTTTGTTTTCCTTTCCTTTTTTTTTTTTTTTTTTTGGTGTATGCATAAATGTCTCGCATATGGGTTCTTTAATTGTAATAAATAATTGTCAATTCTTTATTTGTAATGGGAGGGTAAATAAATGCATCCTAGAAGTCTCCAGAACTATGTGTGCCAACCATTTGAGAATGGTTAATGTCAGGGCAGCGTTAGTGGAAAGATTGGGAGTCTGGGCCAATGACATTTTCTGTATGGTCAGGATAAAAAACATACGTAAAATGTTATCCATAATATAAAGGTTTTGAAAACTAGAGTAACGCCTGATCCTCCAAATCATACAACATGCGTATCGTACTTGAGCTGTAGAGTGAAAATACAAATTTCTGTCAAGCCAAAATACCCTGTAGCAGCTGATATATAACTTTTAATATTTCATGTAGTGTCAGTTATACAGTTGCCACCAAATGCAAAATTAATGTACTTTTGCATGCAAAACTCTTAATCCAGGTAATGGAACTGCACAGTTTTTATATAAAGTACTCCAGGCACTGCGTTGATGGAGTGTTGCATTTAATAATGAAGAAATGTATCTGTGAGACCAGTTATAACCTGGTACAATACCTGAATGTGCACTGGCGTGATAATTTATCTAGTAAGAGTATGCCTAGGACACACAATATGTTAATGCTAAACCTGAACAGCTGCAAATGTGATTCAAAATATTGGATCACGGTAATTTGCTTTATTATTGAACTATTGTTTGTTTTCAGCAAGAAACTGAGTCATCATTTAATAATAATAATAAAAAAGAGCTGGGTACATCAGTGATATTTAACAGCCACAGTACTTTCGGGTTTTGAGGAAGCTACACTTTCATTTAAGAAGGAAAAATGTTTATGGATGATGGTTTATGAAGCACATTGCACGTGGACCAGTATGATGATGTCCCTGCTGTGCTTGTGAACAAGGTCCTCCAAAAATGGGTGTAGAGAGAGACCACTTTGTCTCTTCTTGTGGCAAGAAGTAGTGTCATGGATCGTTCTTTGGGAGACAGCAAAAAAAAAAAAAAGATATTTAAATGGTCGGTGTTGGAAGGTTGATGGTCAATACCTTAAGCAGAAGGACGGGTGTAGAACTGTGATACACCTGACATCACTGGGTGTGCGTGTGGGGAGAGGACGTTTAAATAACTCCTGGTTACAAAGGCACATTTGAGGTAATGGTGACTAGTAGGGGCTCCGGGCAAGTGCACAGAGAGACATGCAAGTCCCGTGGGCAGCGCTGGGCAAATGAAATTCACACATCTTAAAAAAAAAGATTTTATTTAATTTTTTTTTTTTTTTTTAGGGATTTTACCTATTTGCATTGCTGATACCATTTTAGAGAGTTGTTTGTGTTGCTATTCACAGATATGTCGTTGTTGTTGTTACTTCAGTTACTCTGTTTTTATGTTTGTTAAGTGCAATGACTAATACAGAAAGTGTTAATACATTTGAGAAGCTGCTGGACACAGCAGCACCTTTGAAGCACTCCGTTGAGCCCCCCAGGAGCTGGGATATGTCAGAATTTGGCTGCAGATGTCTCTAATTCAGGCTCCTGTGAGTATCTGCCTTGTGCAATTACACAGCTGTGTATAATCTGCTCCGTGCTACCCCAGCCCCCGTTGGGGTGCTGGGGGGGCTGCCGTGTGTCAGAGCACGGCCCCGTTTGGGTTTGGGACCGTACAGGGAGCAGGCAGGTAGGGGTGCTGCCGAAAGGAAGGGTGGTCGAGGTGGTGACAGCAGAGTTTTGTTGTGGAAAGTTGGATCAACCCCACCTCCTTCCTCTGCTGCAGAGCTCACGTGGAGGGCTAGGCAAATCGCTGAAGAGAGAATACACAGGTGGCTGCTTGATGTTTGTTCCTTATTTTAGGAAGGCTCGACTTGGGCTTCAAGGGATCTGAGCTTTTACAGCTGCGGTTGTAGTAGCTAAGTGATCAGCTTTGAAAATGTGCCTGACTTCAGAAAATCACATGCTCTGGAAAAACGATCCTTTGGCATCTCAGATCCAGCAAGTAGATTTGGTAGGTTTGTGGTTTTAATCTGTGTCTTGTTTTCCATCAGTTCCAAGATGGGGAGAGAAAGTGGCTTAGAAGTGCTGTGAAACTAAATCTGCTGATATTTATGCTGCATGGAAATCTTGCTGCCTTTTCCCTGTGAGCACTCCTGTATCAGAAAATCCGAATTGTTAAAAGTGTGTGGTCAGTGAAGGCTCAGACTGATCAGTGGTGATAAAACAGGTACCTTGTCGTTCGCTGAACACCATGGGCCCTGGTGCACTGAGCAAGGTGCTGTTTTTCTTGGAACATGTGTAATTGTGTAAGACTGCATTTCCTGTGGGTTTGGATCACAGATTGATGCTAAGATGCCGATATTTTAATACCAGCAAGGGCTTGGTTTTCCATGTCCTTTGTTCTTGGAATCACTTAGGAGGCTAAATCCTCCACGCAGGACGCACTCTTGCCTCTGCCAGATTTAGACTAGATGGGCAGATTTGGTAGTGCTGCGTTCTGAAAGGGAAGTCGTAATGGAGAAGAGATTTACAAGCTTAACTAGAGGGAGAAATGTCAGTGCCCCGTACAGAAATGGCATTGTAAGGCACTGTGCGGCTTGGGTATACCCAGATCAGAGAACTCGGAGTAATGTTAGCAACTCGGGACACGTGTGAGGAAGAGTTACTGCGTGGAGAGAAATTGCAACGGTGTTTACCTCAGATGACTCGACTCCTTTCTGTGTAATCCCTATTTCCTAACATGAGAAGGAGATATTTAATATGTTCCAGAAGGTGATGAAAACTGAATAGAAGTGCTTTTCCATATAGTACGTAAAGAGATCGTGGAACTTTTGTTAGTGAAGGCTCTTGAGTCTGGATAACAAGTATCCAGAATATGCAACTAAAGCTTTGTTTTTTTATCTTAAACTTCACACATCAGGCCTTGTGACTATTTCAGACTTAAATGTGGCTGTGGAATATCTAAAGTCTGATGTCCCGTTTGGTTCCTGTACCTTTCCCTGAAGCAACACCTGAGCGTCTGGTTTGAACTTACTCCTATCATCATTTGCTTTTATGGTCTTTATGGTTATTCACGTCTTCATCCCTGCACAACATTATTATAAACTTTGACACAATGAAGTAGGTCTTTTTTGAATTCAGTGCAGAGCACAGAGAAAAGCTCGGTAGCTTTACTGGCTGATAGTGCGTAAATCAAGGCTTCAGGTTGGAGTTGTTTAAAAAGTTTTATTTGTCTTAGGTTACTGACATTTACTAAGTTGATGAATGAGGTCTGTCCCAAGTTAAAGTTGTGGGGAATTATCATGTAAATGTCTTCAGCTTCAGTACAATTTTCTGATCACTCGTGATTCCTCTTAATCCGTATGTCTCTGAATAATGTTTCAAAGTTGCGTACAGGTGATCACTTGGTTTCTATCACTGGAAGTCATGGGTTCTCATTTGGAATTAATTTTAAAGTATGGGCTCATGCTTTACTCATACTGGAGCCTCCTAAGTATTTGGAGAAAAACACGTGACATGTTCTTAGAGTGTAGTTTGGGTGTTAGGGGGAGGTTGGATTTGTTTCATAATTCTTTTTTTTTAATTTTAAAACATTTAAATATTTTTTTAGTCTTAGTATATGATCTGGCTAAGTACCAGAATTCTCATTTTTACCACCCGTTTGTCAACCCTGCAATGAGTTTCCTGAATGTATTAACTCTTTTCATCCTGATTGCTTTATTTGGAGCTTCTAGGAGACTTGCTTTTAAAGTTGCCCCCATTTGCAGCTGGAGACCTGAGTAAATCTTACTCTTTATTATGATTAAAAAGGACACCTGAACACAGGAAACACTGATGTTTTCTTCTGCGTGCACATGCATTATAAGTTAGAGAGTTTGACTTTCCTGAAGGCACCAAGGAAGTCCTACTAAAATGAGGATTAGTGGTTCTGTACTCCATTTCAGTGAGATTTATAGGTCCAAATCCATTCTTAAGAGCTCTCGGCTCACTGGAACATTTAAGTGGCATACATTTACACTGTTTCCAGCTATTACTTCCTACAGTTTCCCTCTGATTTGTTTTTAATTTCAGTATTCACATAGAATCTCACATTTTTATCAAAGTATTGCTCCAGATTTGATTTGAGGCATCCCAGTGTAATCACTGACAAAATGCAGCTGATGAAAGACATCAGTTAGGGAAAAAAAAAAAAAAAGCATAGATTTTTTTAAAACATCCTGCAAGATATGGATGAAGTAACAGCTGAAGTTTAAAAAAAAATATATAAATCTGGATCATAACTCCATTTTTTTTCTTACCTCAGGTCAGATTTGGTCTTCCCCCATCACTTCTGCCATGTCCTGGTGCCAGATTCTTTTTGGGAGGCAATGTTTCTTGTCTTGACTGACAAGAGGTGCTGTCTCTGGTAGGATGAATTCTCTTCTTTGTTTTCCTTCCTTTTGGCTTTGAACTTTTATCTGTCATCTTCTTATTTCTTAGTCATTGTTCTTTTTTCCCTTTGCTGTGCTGTCTCTCTCCTAGTTTTGTTCCTAGAGAGGGCGGTTTTCACAAAGATCTGTGGATGCTGTAGGCCTGTGTCAGAGGTGAATGCAACAGAAGTTTAATGCCTGCCTCTGTGAGCCTCTTTGAAAAACAGAGCTCTAATATTTCTTGGTAACACAAATAACCCTGGTCTATTTAAGAAAATAACTATTTCCAAAATGTTTCTAGGCAGTGGGTTCTCTGGCTACTGTAGATATGAACGTGTTTAGTTGTTTTCAGATGAGGCCAGGCAGCTTCAGGAGTAAAAAAAAAAAAAAAAATAAAAAAAATCCTTGTCAGGTAATGCCAAACCATTCCTACAGTATTTGTAAAGGATTTACTTTTACTTTTCAGTAACAGAGGATTGCAAGTGTGGGTGGTATGTATGGACTCACTTGTGTTAACTTATTGATACTAAAGCAGCCAACGTTCTTGTCTGAGGGGTGTTGCTGTTGGCCAGCTCTCTTGATCAGTTCTTTGAGAATATCAATATACGTATCAGAATTGTGATTTTAAACCAATTTCTAAAGTTCTCCACCTCCACATACCAGCTGAGTTGTTCTTCAGGTGCTTAATAATATAGCAGGAACACAACGTCAGCTCCTGGAAGCACATACCTAGGTACATGCCTGGAACGGCGGTAGGATTATTTGGAGGCATCCTGCATGTGGCTGTTTGGATAGCAGTGTTGTGAGCTGTTGAAACTGTGATATTCTCTGGATACCTACCTCAAGTGTCCTTGCCCCAGCAGCAAATTTTCAAGGTCAGGAATGTACTAGCTTATAAACATATAATGACTTCTGTGATTGTCAGCTTGTCTTTGCTTCCAGACAAGTAATTCTGACAAGGGATAGTGTTCAAATCTATGGCAGTGTATTTTTTGCGTAACTTAACAGGGTTTTTTGTGTATCAGCAGCATGCTTAGAAATTAATGTTCACCTTAATGAATTTGAAATTGCCGAAGTCTGACTAAATAACTGTTTCTTGGTTGGACTGTCTTTTATGATAGTTAGAATGAAATTAGCTCTGAAGAAATCTGTGGTTTAGACACAAGGGCTTGTTTGTGTTTAGGGTCTTGTCACTTTCACTTAAACAAAGCATTATTCCAGCTATTTGCATGTGCTTTTAAAATAGGTGGTAATGAGGAGATGTGCTTAACACAAATGGTGTTAAGTGTGCTTTATTATGTGTATACAAAATTGCAAGCAGAGTTGTGGATTGTCACTGCAAGTGCAAAATGAACGTAGTGAGAGGCAGCTTGTAGTTCACTGGTGAAATTGGGTCAACAAGAGCAGCTTCGCCGGGAGTAATGATGGTGGAGTGTAGGTCACGACTACACAAGCATGGCTTTACCACTGCGATTTGCAGAGTTCCTTTGGACTTTATCACCCTACTTTCCAAGACTAAATGTGAGTCCATTAGCACCTGAATTGTTTTTAGTATTATTTTTTCATGTGTCCAGAGTCGTCTTTCTCCCTAAACCTGGCTGTGGAAATGAGCTAAGATGGAGAAGGAGCATTCAAGATGCCCTCCGAGAAAGATGACTGAACTTTGCAAAAGTGAACTGTAGAGATTGCACAGCTTCTGATGTTGTGCACGTAAGATGCTTGTTTTTCCAACCTAGATGTACATAAGACTGCTCACATTAAATTGATTTCATACCTGTCCCCCATATGATGAGAATACCAGCAAGCATGGTTTGATCTCGGACTATATAGGTGGAAGAGTATGTTACTCCTGCTGTAAACAATGACCAGGATTATTTGTTGTTTTGTATAGACTTGCCTTTGTTACTTACATTAATTAGATACCTTGCAGATTTAAGAAGATGGAGTGAAAACTATGCGGAGTGTCTTGGTACTCAAGTATGTCAAATACATTTTCTAACACTTTTCTGCCTTGGTTGTCTTCGATTTACATGTAAAGGTGAGCAGTTAATTTGCCCTCTTGGCTGCAGAAAGAAGGGATGCTGTGATCTTCTCCCCAGTTGTTTTGGCATAAGGCCTGCAAATTGCCAGCGTGGATCTGAGAGAACAGCAAGTTTTCCCTATTCTGGAAGATTTTCATGGGGGGAGAGGGAGGGGCTGAGAATATAGCCTGAGATTTTGCTGCAGAAGAGTGGCTTTGTAAGTGAAGGATGTCCTTGGATTAATTGACTCTTACAGGCCCAACTTGCAGTGGTTTGCATCCCGAACTGCTGCCTGACATTTACTTAGAAGCAGAGGATCAGCAGGAAGCAAATTTTCAGGTTTAACTGATGATGTCACATGAAAAAAATACACATACAAGTGGAGGATTTTAATATGTTTTTGGAGGGGGTGGAGTTTGTAGTCTATTCTGGTACTATCCAGCTTTGAAGTGTTGGAGCTAGTTACTGTAACTCGGAGCTCAGTTAATATTTTGTTCCTGGAAGCATTAGGAATGCAAGGAGAGTGACCACAGAGCTGAAGAAGTGTGTTGTTGAGAATTACGTGCCAGAGTGCAGTTGTCTAGTCAAGAATAAAGTACTCCAGGCTGTTAGTTGGTTGAAGACGCCTGACTCTGGCTTTGAGGAATGCCATGATGTATTTATTGTTCCAGCGCTAATATTTCAGGTCAGCAGATGATGAATACTGTTTGTAGTCCTTGCATTGTATGGTGTCGAGCTTCTTCAAAACATATCTTTCCTTCTCTTTAATACCCCTATAAATCATAAGTCATGACTTTTGAAGAGGCAGGCACTGGATATGTCACTGCATTAAATATCACTCACATGGAGGAAGGTGCTGCCTGCATGCTTTTTCATACTGCTAAGCATTTGGAGGTCTTGACAGTGTATAGCAGTTGTGAAGATCCATGCTGTAGTTTCTTTCTGTTGATCCAGGAACTCTAGAGAAGCTGCTGGGAATCTGAGGAATGTCTTGTGAAAAAGTACAGAGGAAGTATTTTGAATGATCCAACAAGCTATATTCGAGACTGAGCAGACCTTAGGGCACAAGAAGGCTAAAGAACGTGCATGTACATTAATAGGATTGTCAATCCTTTTGTTTTCCTCCTGTACCAATCCTAAGGTGTCTTCCAGTTGTACCCACAGAAAATTGACTCTGTTGTCTGGACCATTGACTCTAAGCTGATTTATGTGGGTACTGAAAGATGCCTGCAAACAAACAAAAAGGGTTCAAGCTTCTGCCTGTAAAATATATTTTATGTGGACCTTAATGTCCACATAAAATATATGTATAATATATGTACGTATAACATATGTATGACAGTGTCATACAAAGTTCATGTAGGGTTATAAACTGTAGGAAGGTATGAAGTGCTGACTTGGTCAGCTGAGAGTTATGTCAGAAGAGTAAGGTAGGTGCCAGCTCTAGTGCTGGCAGAAGAGAAAGCAAAAAAGAAAAAACGCTTGGAAAGAAAGCAGCTAATGCTTCCTGCTTCCTGTAGGAGCTGCTGTGGTGTAGCCATCTACAGCAAGCTCAGAAAACTTGTTAAAATAACAGTTGGCTTAAAGTTGTCCTAGGGGCATGGACATGCCGTACTACGGATGGCTCTGACTGGACGGGCTGAATGAAGGTCTCTCTTCATCCTTGCTCCCCTGTGACACCACCTTGAGAACTGCCAAGGTAAACTGATAGAGTTTCAAGCTCACACCCAAGCTCTGTCCTGGTATCTGCAGGCGAGGAGGCTGTGCTGTCTTCATGGTAAAACTAGCTGCATGTTTATGACATTCATTCATAAACCAGACTGAAGAATCCAACACATTGTGTAGCGAGGCAGTCTTCAAACACAAATATTTTTAAGATGTGCATGTGAGGGTGACTGTTTTTCTCACGAGCATCTGAGAATTCAAGATAGTTCAGCAGATTAGTGGTCAAGCAGAGTCTGGTAGGAAATGGAGAACAGAACTTTAAGTTAGTTAGAAAATGTGTTTTAAAAAAAAAAAGCTGTGTGTGTGTTGTTACTGAACTATATCTCTTTCTGAGGTGCAGAAGAAGCAGTGAGGTAACATGGTGAAAATCTCTTGTCTCTCTGCCTTCCCCAGCTGTATATCCAGGTTTTTCTTCAGTAGCATATTTATCTTATAGTGCTCAATTCTTTTTTTATAGTATATCATTTATAAAACTCTCTCAATGAAGATCTGTCAGACTTGTTTGTACAGTTGATTTTTCCTAATCATTAACATACTATTTTATGCATTTTGTAACTGCAGTGTGGCACATGAGCCTGCAGTAACACGTAGTTGGTTTTAATACTACCTCTCCTTTTTTCTTCAAATTAGGAAGCAGCATATTTATCTGTTTTGATAAAATGCTGTATCACTAAGTACGTGCTTTATTCTTGTATTCAGATCAGCAAGTAAAGGGAAACATCTATAAATTACTGTCTATTCTAATTTTTAAAAATTGTCTTTTTTGTTAAAAAAAATAAAATAGTTTCCACATTTTTAGATCTCTGTGGGAAATAAGTTTGGTGGTTTTTTTATAATTGTTGTACAGTCATTACACTAGGTTCCTGTAGTAAGCATTGCTTTGCAGCTGTAAATTTCAGACTTCTTTCATCTGGTTATTGATGCTTTGTGGGAATGCAATTTTGCAAATGTTTTTGACGTTGTTGAATCCTGAATGCCATGTTCTGTAGCAAGGCTGAATGACTGATTCTCTCCTATTCAGAGAAAGGACATGAGGCTGCAGAAAGGTTTTTTCTTTTTTTTTCTTTTTTTTCCTGAAGGAAGGTGGTGAAGCTGTGGTACCTGTCTTTGTGGTATAAGTCGAACAGAGAGCTTAGGAAATTTCTTCATTGAAATTTATCATGAGGATTTGAGATATTGGGTTATGGCAGGACAGAACAATAGATTCGTGGCTTTTTATTTTTTGGTTTTTGTTTGTTTTTTGTCTTGAT